ATCTACTATATGTGCCAACAGACCCAAGCCTGTAACATGCGCATACTGGAAACAAAAACCTCCCATTACAACAAAGCAGTACCACTGAATGTTAAGCTACATCCTTATACGTAAACTGAAGGCAAAGGAGATTGGGTAACACTTTATAAATTACTAAAACCATGCCTTACAGTAAGTAAACATATTCATAATGCATTATAATGCATTCATAAAGTATTATAAACATGGTTATAAATATATATACACATTATAGCCATGTTTATAATGCATTATGACTGCCTTATGAAGCTGTCATCTATAATGCGCTATATAGATAATTTTATAATGCAGTACAAAACATCCTTATTGCTTATTCCGACCATTATAATGCATTATGAAGGTATCTACAGTGCATAACAGATGGGAGCTTCATAAAGCATTCATAATGCATAATACACATGGCTATAATGTAATATGCCTTTTTATAAATATGTATAGCCATGTTTATAATGCTTCATGAATGCATTATAATGCATTATGAACATGTTAATAAATTATTAAAAACATGGCCTTATGTGAAGTATTACTGGAGAATATATAATAGTGCTTATCCCCAATCCGCAATTTCCTTCGGAATTAGCATCTCAAAGTACACACATTCATATATATGCATCTATGCATCTATCCATCCATCTAGACTACATTACAAAAACAGACACACAGTTCATTATTTAGGCAGCAAGATGAAAACTCAATAGTCCAGTAAAATCAACAAAACATAATACCCTACATATGACGGCACGGAGACAGGCACAAATATGTCCGGGTACATTTCTAATTATGACCGAAGAGGTAGAATCCATGCTTTATGAATCCAAATTAATGAGCTCTGGGATTTAAAAGTGGAGCACAGGAAAGTCCCATTATGGAGACGTAATCAGATCAGAGGCGGATCGGAACGGTGAATGAGCAGTCCGGAGATCGTTTGGGATGCAAGCAATCTTAGCTGCTCTTCCCTCCGATTTGTGGTGGCAGGTGATTCCTTGTGAAAAAGTGTGAAATGGGAGCTCAGGATAGACAGTACTGAGTGTTTATTGTCGATTATCGGGAGACAGAGCAACCAGGAAAAGGAGGAGGGTGATTACTTTGAAGGCAAAAAAAGAGTGGAATAAAAACATTGGGGTAATTTAGACAAATAAATACAAACGCTGCCATGCGTCTCAAAGCCAACCCAACCACTGGGCCATTGGAGTGGTCAGAGGACCTGTGCTATTTTCTACAAAAGTTAAAATTGTCAGCTGGGGGGGGGGGGCATGGTGGCAACAGCGAAAGCTGTTTACCCAAACCCGAACTCGAACCCTGAGCCTTTTTGAGGTCCCTTTCTAACGGAGGCCCCTGGGCTCCAGCCTGGGCAAACCCGTACATTAAAGCGCCGCTGTATTCGACATTCGTCAATCCGCGAATGAATCAGACGTACCGTTTCTATTCGTACTCAGCGTTCTGAGTACATTTCTATTAGCTACTTACTTTGCATCGATTTGCTGGTGGGAGGCGAGTACAAAGCGCTTCACTGAATCACGGTGAGTAACACGATTTCCAAATAATAAATCTGCAAGTGTGGAGGCAATTAAGGTGAAATTGAAACAACTGTACCCTAATGTGTCATGCCGTCCTCGTCCTGCTGCAGCTGTACAGAACATCATGTTGTTTACAGCGCGGCGAGGATTACTCACTCCTTTCTCCATTATTCTCGGTCACATTCGCCCACAAAGAGGCCCTGGGTCACGGTCACGTGCATCACGTGACCCATGTCTCGCAAAATGCTCGGAGGTCGACGCCCACGCCTCCCCAGTCCCCCCCCGCCCCCATGCATGGATACTAACTGCATCTATCAACAAGTTAGCACCGGAATAAATACTTTGCACTTCCATTTTCTACCACAGCCTGGCCTGCTCTCAGCTGCCTTTGGCATCAGTGCCCACGTTCGATAACCACCCTGCTGTCGCCCAGTACTGCGTTTTTGGCACTGGAGAAAGAAGCCTTTGGGTTTTATTGTGGTTGGGATCATCAAGTGTCAGCAAGTCACATGTTGGCTTAAACTGTCTCTCATTGGTTGATTTTAACTGTCTCTCATTGGTTCATTGATTTAAAGTTATATGGTGATTGGCAGCACAAAAACTAAATTAAGTCTCATTCCATCCAACACTGATAGGTGTTCGCAATGTATAAAAGCAGAAAATAAAAGCATATGGTTTGTTATATTATAATAATCCCACCTTAAGCATATTGATTTCAGACAGGCGGATGACAGGCAACTGGGAGGAGATGCTGGCTAGGCTTGGGCAGAATTATGGTAATACCGAATACCATGGTATTTATGGTATTTTGGGAATAACACTGTATTTTTCTTCAAAAAACATCCCCAGCAAATTTTATCAGGACATACTGGAATAGCATTGCTTTTTAAAATACTGTCGAGGTACCATATACTACACTACAATAGCTGGATGACTGTATTAAAAATTACCGGTACCGTCTGATCCTAGCGATGGCTGGAGGGTGGATGATGGAGTATAGGCAGTATAATTTGCCCGCAGGGGAGTTTGTGCTGGTGGCCAGATTTATCAGCTGGAAATTGGGAGGGGGGGCGGTTTGCAGACCGGGGTTAGAGGGTGACGGTGATATTTGCCGACCAGGTGGGATGGGGTTGTGGTGTTAAAATTTCTTGCTAGCCTATTGTCTGACAGGCTAGCGGGACGTTACACATCATTCACGGGTGTCGGGAACCTGCTGTCAATTTCTCAGGAGCTCCTGGAAAGTCTGGGAGTGGTGGGATGTCTGATAATAAATACCGAGGAAAGATATTCCAGTTAAGCGGCACTGGGACTTCACTGCAGAATTTTCACCTCAGCTACTAGACATTACTGCGAAGTGTAATATCTCAGAGCACCTCTCACGCCGGATGGGTGTCGGATCCCATGGATGGAGTCTCACCTGCAGCTCTCATTAGACGCGCGCATGAGACCCATGTGCGAATGGAGCTGCGCAGTGAAGCCGCCCTTATCTGCGCGGATTCCGTCTGGAAATGTGCTCATTCTGCCGGGGTTCAGGTCAAACTCAGAGGCTCAGATCCGCTCCTGTTGCCGTGGAAGAAGCATTTCTTACATGGCCTGCGCACATCGGAGTGCGTACGTGCGAGAGAGGGAGTGCGGGGAGACTCCATAATGCCCACATATCCGCATGACAGGGCGTCGGGAAACTGCCGCATTAATAAGGGAATCGTGGGAATCTCTCGGCCGTGCAAGAGGCACGGACTCACGCTGCCTCCATCGTGTCAGGCACGATGAGTGAATCACTTGCGAATCACTCCCAAATCCGCAGTTTCGCACTCCCAGTATCTGGAAATGCCTTCAATGACGAAAAGTTAAACAAAAAAACCATACTGAAAATAATAAATGCAACTTGAAACTTTTTTGGGGGAAAAAAGTTATAAAACATTGAAGCTACCGTACAAGAGCCTCCGAAATATTAGCAAATAGCTGACGATGGGCTGCCGTGCTTCAGCACTGACCGCTAAAAATAGGCCAGACTTTGTTCTCGATAAAACCCCTTACCACTAAACTGAGTAACGAGATTTAGGCATTTGCCGTTTTGCAGAGGCACTTGGAACCTTGTTTGAAGCATTTCAATTTAACGGATGAAGAGATGATTGAGGGAGTATATGAGCCGTGCAGAGAACTTTTATGAGTAGTATTATATACTACTGCTAGGCTGCACGTCTGAGCATTGCTGAGCTCCCTGTAAGGGCACCGGGATCAAAAGAAATTCTGTACATCAAATAAAAATCTAGGCCTTGTTGATATAATAACAAACAACAAGAATAACAACAAATGCAAAAAATAACGTTAATAAATTCAACAACAAACTGAGGGTGCTGCATTCAAGCGTTAAATTTAAACAATTAGGTGTTTACATATTGAATACCACCTTTATACAATGTTTGAAGCAAGATCATCTGTCGAAACAGATGAGCTTGACTAGGAGAAGTATTGAGGAACTCCGTATCCTGTATAAATTTTTTTTTTGTCCACATATTTTTTTTTCCTTTTAAATATATTTCACACATCTATACAAGCTTTTCAAGAACACCTCTGCCATTTCACTTGGGACTAATGGTGTAAGTGGTAACAAAAGATCAACGTTTGCATGGCTGTGAACATTTTTACGGAAGGAAAAATAAAAACACCCACTCGATCCAAGAATCTGGTCTCAAAAAAAAGAGAAATCAGTTTAAAAATGTCGACAAGGGAGCCCATGAGTAAACATTTCAGTCCCTGGCTGTTTGTTGGCAAATGCCTCCCATCTCCCTTAAGACTTGTTGTTATCAGGCTGAAAACAAGCACCCGTCAGCTTGCATGCGGCTCATTAAGTGTTATGTTCTGAACAGACACACACAGAACAGCAGGCGCACACACACACACACACACACACACACAGGACATGTCTTATAAGCCAGAGACGCTACATCAAATTTGTTTTATTATATGTGAGCATATGAAGAATGAATTTCAGTTTATATAAAGTTACATTAAATCACACAAATCGCAGTCAGACAAATCACCAAAATCAGATCACCTGGCTTAACTAACTGCAGCTGTAATTAGTGATCTGGGTGTTTTACATTTACCCCAGAATATTACATCAGAAAAACTATGAAAGACTGAACACCAAATGAATGCACTGTTTCAGTAAATATTCAAATAAATAGACTCAATATAATTTACATTCACCGAAAACCATATCAAATAAAGTTTACATGTAAATAAACACTAAGGAATCTCTATAATGAATACATCAGCATGATGATCAGTCAGCATGATTGACCTGATAAAAAAAACACTTATTGCCATTGACAGTGGAGTTATTGTATATTAATTTGAGTAAAAAAGACTGCACCGCACAACCAAGGACAGAAATGAGCTTTATCGTTAAATTCTTTAATCTCGTTTGGTGTTACTTACGGGTACCATCGAATCGGTTGGCGATGGTGTCCAGGAATGTGTTCTGTGGGGCCAGGAGGCCCTTCATCACCGGCATCTTGGCAGCTTCTCACTGTCACTTCATTCCAAGAGGAGGTCTGGGTCTCTCCCCGCAGGCGGGTGACTTCGGCGGCTCCCGCGAGATCACTGGCAGTGTGCCATCGCGCTGCCGGCTCTTTCTGAGGACGCCAGGCGTCCCGGGCAGACCGCTGGGCGGCTCCGGCCCATGCTCAGGTACAGACCGCTGGGCGGCTCCGGCCCATGCTCAGGTACAGACCGCTGGGCGGCTCCGGCCCATGCTCAGGTACAGACCGCCCACACTCTGTCTGTGTTGCTGTCTAGCCGCCGCGGTGACAGCTGCCACATCTAGGTGCAGCAGTGCTACTTTCCGCACAGGAGGAAAGGGCTGGTAGTCTTCAACATCTCTGCCACCGTATCTATACTCTCCCTCATTCTCTCTCTCTCTCTCTCTCTCTCTCCCCCACCCTCTCTCTCTCTCAAAGGCAGCAGACAGTGGATCTTCTTCAGCCTGTTTTCCCTGCCTAGAACTATCTACTCCCACAGTAACAGGGTGGGAGTAAGATCACCCTCCTCCTGTGCCACAGAAACCTGTCCTCACACTGCAGGCAGCGGGGGGAGGGGGGACGTAGAACAGGGGTCTCCAACTCCGGTCCCGGAGAGCCTCTATCCAGTAGGTTTTCTATCCTACTTGGCTTCTGATGAGCCACACCTGCTCCTGGTATTTACCTGAGAACAGGTGTGGCTCATCAGAAGCCGGGTAGGATAGAAAACCTACTGGATAGTAGCCCTCCAGGACCGGAGTTGGAGACCCCTGCCGTAGACGATGCTGAAGACCCCCCGACAAGAAACCCCTCAGTTTGCCTCAAACAATAAACAAACATTCCTGACACATTTTTACATAATCAGTAGACAAGTCAAGTCAAAGGGTGTATGAATAAGTTCACAGGCAAAATACCTCACATTCAGAGATTCACCCAATTAACACCACATCTAATTAACACCTGCTTTCACACAACACTGCCGACTGGAACCAGTCTGCTCTTCACTTCCTGTAATCTCAGTGCTAAGTGTTTTCTATCATCTTCATATGTTTTTTATTTTTAATCTGCCTTGCACGAGGGAAAGGAAGGCAAGATCGACAAGCAGAATGTTCCAGGGTGACGGAGCTCGTATCTACATAGTAGATAACTGAGTCTCACTCACTTCAGCACTTTCAATAAACTAACATCATAAAGAAATCATGAGAATTTCAGAGAAAAGCCACTGGGACGTTTTCCCAGAAAGGGCTCTGCGATCATAACCTGGAGGTGATTACTACAAAAATTTGTAGTTCTATAAATATACAGCGTGCCGACTCTTTGGATAATAGGAGAGAATTGAGTAAGTAATGAAATGAAAAAGAAAAATGTGATTAGCGCTCTAGTCTCCATTTAGTGGTTCCCAATCCCTGTCGATAGACAAGTACTGGTCCTGTTCTATTTTACAGACCCCCACCCTGTTTCCATTGTAAGTAAATTGATTGCATGGAAGGGTACGGTGATGCTGAGCAATCCCCTCAGCACAGCGCAGGCCGAACAAAACCCCAGCGTCATGCATATTTCATGCCCAGTTCATTCCTTTCAAACTGCTGCTTTTATGAAGCTGCACCAGCCCTGCAATGAGGAACGATTCACACCTGTCTTTGGCGGCATAACTGAGTGTCATTCACCTGTAGCTAATTGCTAGTGTTGTAATACGTCTTCTATTCGTGTCTTGGACCCTGACAGATCACTCACCCAAATATGTCCGTTTACATTATAAATGACGGCTTTCCTGTTCTCCCTGCCCCAGGTACATACACAAGGGCGGGGCTAATATGGATACTGGACCCAGCTGGAAGTTGATTGGCTCCCGGAGTACCCCCTCCCCGTCACTCAGTGTTTCAAAACGTATCATTGGCAATCAGGTCACACATGTGAATGGGAGCACGTTTACCAGCCAATCAGGTCGCACATGTCGATGGGAGCATGTTCACCGGCCAATCACGTTGCATGTTGATGGGAGCACGTTCACCGGCCAATCAGGTCACACATGTCAATGGCAACACATTCACTTGCCAATCAATTAGCGCCCCTTTCCTCTTTACTTAATTCAAAATGGCCCGCTTATGCATTCATTCCTCTCAATTTGTTAAAGCCAAAAACTCTGGTAAAGTCTCTGTTGGCCACCCACACAGACCTGCTCGCCTTATAGGGAGTGACATGGAAGTAATACTGATACTCGAACAAAAGCCTCAATTAGTTTGGACTGCTGCTTAACCAGGAGCTTCAGTCAGTGATCCTCAGGCTGGGATACAGAGGCAATTCGAGAAATTTTAAGGTGATGTCAACCTTACTTTTAGCCAATGACACGTTTCGAACTGGTGAATGACAGACAAGGGGGGCACACTGCAGGCCAATCGGCTTTCAGCTGAGGCCAGCGGCCATGCTGGGATATCCATGAGTATTATGTCGTGCGAAACATTAACACTAAGCAGCTTAAGCCTATCACTGTGTATTACACACAATAGATGTATTTAGGCCCACTATTCTCACAGGGCTAAACCATACATAATTATATGAAAACAGAAATCAGCCAAAGTGACTTTTGCTATACAGGATTTTTCTTGTTTTCCCCTTTAATTAGCATTTATATCGTCTGAATATCCTTTCATCATCCCTAATCTGTCTGATGAAGAGTCACAGTGAGTCTGGAACTCACCCTACTGGGCGGGATTCTGGGAAACATCCCGGGTGGGGTGTCAGTCCAAAACAAGACACACACGAGAATACACGATGTACGATTTAAAGGCACTAATACGCCACGGTGCCTCTAAACTGAATAGGTCAGACAAATATTCGATAAGGCTTTACATTAACTGCGCATTGCAGGGGTTGGAGTGGCAAGCAGGGCAGCTGTCCCAGGGCTGGCCCCCTAGCGATGTCCGAGAGCCCCGCTGACTGCAAATTGGACCCCCCCCCTAACTGCAGATCTCCACATGCATGCAAAACATTCATTGAGGATTAAGGCACTGATGTCACGCATGTTATATACTGTAACTCCATGACATGCTACTTTTATATCTCTCATATTTATTTATACAATCTCATTATGGTGGGAGTCATAACACAAAATATTTGGCTCAATACTTAAAATTAATTTGAAATGCAATTGTTTGTAGTGTTTTGTAGTCAAACTGTTGTTGAGGTGGGTATTTAATGGAAAAAGCATGTTGGTGGAATTTGCAAACTACTACAGTGGAAGCTACTGCAACTAGTGTAGGCAGGCCCTAGCTGTGACTGTGGAAGGGGGGGCATGGTCCATTTTTGCCCCAGTGTACAGTCGTTCCTCCACTGGCACACTGATAATACCTTTATAATGCATTTGCAGAATATTCACTGCACCTTCATAACGCATTCATAGAACATTCAGTGCACCTTCATAACGCATTCATAGAACATTCACTGCACCTTCATAACGCATTCATAGAACATTCATAAGCAGCATGTAAGTACACAATAACAAACATGGAAGTCATATAATGTTTTTAATGTATATTGAAGCCATTAAGGTACGTTAATGACTTAATGTTCTATGAATGCATTATGAAGGTGCACTGAATGTTCTATGAATGCATTATGAAGGTGCACTGAATGTTCTATGAATGCATTATGAAGGTGCAGTTAAAGAGTTACTAAATATTTTCATCATATGATCCATCCATCCATCCATTTTCTGAATCCCAGCAGGGGTCGTGCGGGGGACCGGAGCCTATCCCAGGAACAATGAGAGCAGGCAGGAACCAACCCTGGGCAGTCGCCCACACACTACAGGGCCAATTTAGACTCACCAATCAACCTATCCTTCACGCTTTTGGACCGTGGGAGGAAACCGGAGCCCCCGGCAAAAACCCACACAGCTCGGACCCGGGACCGAACCCAGGACCTTCATGCCATGAGGTAGCAGTACTAACCACTGTGCAACCTTTCATCATGTGATATGCATAAGAAATGATAAATGTATTACTATTATATTTTTTCCTATTGGGTTTAATGAGTCAATTTTCTATTCAAATTTACTTTAGGTATGCGTTGAAATACTGTTGAAAGTGTCATACAATAAGGGATTAAATGCATTATAACCAGTTATAACTTCGTCTTTAGTGTAGCTTGCCTCCTGCCGAAGAGCCCGTCGTCACGCTGGCGCGGTAACATGGAACAGGGGGAGCGGAGCAGCCCGCTGACGCGGTACCTTCGGGGACTAGGCTACGTGTTTTTCCACCAGTCAGAACAGACAAACAGACGCACCTACTCCACCTCCGTCTGCTTCTCACCCTAACGCTTACAGCAGGAACTTCTGCTACGATCCGAAGCGGATCCTGAGGCTACATCTTGGTCAGGTTCATCACGAAATCCAACACGGTAGGACTGCAGTCTCATTTGAACAAATTCAAGTCCATTTCGAAACAAGAAATGCACAGTGTATACCACAAGCGTCCATATTACACATTTAATGGCGTTTTAATATTAGCATTAGCTCATTAACTGGAATGAGTATTTTTAAAGTGGAGTCACCACCCATCTTGCCATTTTCTTCACGAGAGATAGTCTCACAGTCATAGACCTATTATCGAAAGATTTGTATTTTTCCTGTAGCTACTTCATTTGGCTTGTACTGGTAAGTCGTGGTAGGCTATGTGTAACGCATTGAGAAACCCCCCCTCCCCCTAAAAAAAGTAATAAAAAATATTAAACTGTATATAAATGAGTGGTGATTACTTCAATGATTTAAAGGAGAAGGAAGAAAACGGAAAACCTGCAACACGGAGAGAATATAAAAACATGTTTGGAAGACGATGGATGGATGGATGGACGGATGATGAAAAAAGAAAGAACAATTAAAATGTTATAAGAGACAAGTCTCAAGAAAGTCGGTTGCACAAGAAGACTATAAAGTCTGCTACAACATTAAAACCACAAAATGCACAGAAAATGCGGTCGGTCTTTTGCGTTTCATTTTTTCCCGTAAGCGACTTACGAAATGCTACGTAAGTCAGGCTACCTCCAAAAACCCACTGGCTGTTTCTCACTCTGCCCTCAGTCACTAAGGTAGCACATAGATGTCTATAAATATATCTACTGCACGACTGCATGCAAAATGTCATTGTGATCATTGCTAACTAAAAGGGCCACCAATACAACAGTCACTATAATATGCGCTAAGGAAGTGCCTCTTTACTCTGACTGCTCGTTAATGTCGCACGATAATATGCTACATTAGCACTGAAACTGACGAGTTCTATGTCGCCCCAGTTCCCTTTCATTCACTAGCATTTGTCCACCA